TTTCCCACCATCCAGTCAGAGCTGAAGAAGCTTCTTGGATGAGAAGTGAAATGTCTTCAAAGAGGAAAAAAAGACCTTGAAAAAGCTCCTTTGGGATTTCTGAGTGATTGTCAAGGGCAGCCACATATGGACTACATTTCAATAGTTGATATGTGAGGTAATTGCAGCATGAGGACTGTGAGAAGGATCTGAGAAGGGTTATCCAATCTAGGAACAGCTACAATTGGCACACTAGGATCCTTTCTGCTCACATTTGCCATCTGCTTATGGAGCTGCAACTGTGAACCCAGAAATTGCCCTATTGCTTACTGTATCTGTCTGGGGAAGAACAAACTCATCCAGAGATGAAAGTGGAAAGCCCTGGCTGTTGAGAATCCAAAACACATAATCACCAAGTCTTGTCAGAGTTCACCTTTAACTGTTCCCTCCCCAGTCACGCCCCACCATCTTCAGACACTAAGAGAAGATTTTGAAGGCATTAATTGGTTAGCCTGTAATTCAACTGAATATCATCAGCATGTTGTTATTTGACTCCTGGCCAATAGATGAATTCACCCAGTGGCTTCATATAGATGTTCTAACAACAGCATTGAGCCTTTGAAATTGCACACATAAGGAACCTCAAGTGTGACCTCTTTCCCCAGCAATACCAATTGGAACCAGCCATGAAGAAAGGAGAACATACTGCCTCCTCATGCCTGCTTTGGCCTAGATGGATACCATGATTGATGATACTGAAGGCTACTGAGAAGTCAAGGGGAACCAGAAAATTGAATACAAATCTGCCAGAAGTCACCTATAAGATAGATCAGGGCCACTTCCGTGCCGTGTAATGGCCTGAAATCCAACCCAAAAGGATTCACATCCACTTCCTCTAAGACCCATTGAAGTTCAAGCTTACAATCTAAAAAGGGATGGAGACTGGATGAGTATTATCCACCACTGTTGGGTCCAGTGATGATTTAAGAGGGTGTCACTTGCTTCCCATAAGGCAGGCACTCAAGGATGCACTAATCACTGCATCCAGGATCAAGAGGAAGATATCAAGATGACTGGGATTTTACTTCTTTTGCTTAGTACCTAGTATTTTCTACTTAAAATAATGTGATGCTGCAGCTGCAGAGACAGCTTATGAATCTTGCTGTAACTGATCACAAGGATTAAAATCATGAACCTTAAGAGAATTTCTAGACAGGTTAGAATGTTAGAGGTCTTTGCCATTGAGGGCTCGAAGCTATATAACCTATATTTTGTGAGATTATTTTGTATGATTGCTAGCCAGAGGGAAAGGCCATCATTAGTAATATGGAGTGATGTAACCAAGCTATCAGATAGCAGTGCAGCTACTATATTTTATTAAGAGTTAAACACCCACACCTGAACTACATTCTTAATCACAAGTTTGAAGGCACAAATTGTGTCTTCTACACTCAGCTGTTAAAGATGCTGAGCTTTTCAGCTGGAAAACTGACAGCCTAAGTTTGAGACCTGAGCACTATGCAATGGGATGAGCTCGTTACTTACCCCAGCTTCTGCCAGCCTAGTTCAACAGCATGCAAATGTGAGTAGATAAATAGCTATCATTTACCTATTTCCTTGTGCCTAAGCATAGTTATGCTGGTCACATGATCACAGAAGCATCTTTGGACAATGCTGGCTCCCTTTGCTAAGAAGCTGAGATGATCACCACCCCCTCGTCAGACACGAATGGACAGGGGAAACATTTACTTTTTTACTACTTACTTTTACCTTTACAAAATAAGACTTAATTCTCAATGGTCACAAGCACCCAGCAATGATTTCACAAAGGTCACTTTTAAAATATTGGTTCTGGAAGAGTCCTGGCTTACTGAACTACATTTCATTTTCAGTTGATTTTAATTCTGCAATGTCTCAGGTCAAAAACTGCATTTATGTTGAAGTAGTTGTTGGCCATTTTTTCTCTTTGAAAAACCTCTTTCCTTGCATTGTGTTTATTCAAGCGAAAGCTTCCTGTAATCCAGATTTCTCAATGTCTGCATTTTGTTCTTTCTAGATATTGCATTTCACCTCTTGTAATGTACCACCAAACTCCTCAAAGTCTCTATTGTATCTATAGTAGCTGATACTCATAGGATATTACTAACAGGTATTATCGTGCTGTTTACTAGATTATAGCTAAGCATCTATTTAGCAATGTCCATGCCTATTTGGAAGTAGTTGTTTACCTTCATGTGTGAAATACAGCACATCCTATTACTTCTGTATTAGTAGTAATGGGAGGCTACCTTCCTCACATTGCACCTTAACTAGCATTCCAGTTTCTTAAAATTTTTGACTACTTATCATATAAAGACATGAAATTTAAATCAAAATATGTTAAATAATAGAAAATAAGACTTTTATTCTTTTTTTTAAAAAAATCAAACAAATAAAATTCAGAGCTTTGCTGGCTCCACTCTTAGGATGGATTTCAATACAAACCAGTTAGTTGGGCTTCAACTTTAGAAGTGCCAAAAAGATTTGGTAAAATGTGAATTAAGCTCTATAGAAACGTCTATAAGTTGACTCAATATAATGAACTAGTTGCTCAGAACATATATTTTCTCAGGTAACCGGTGACTTCTTTAAAAGAGAAAATAAAGTGGAAATAATTATCAACTAGAAATTAACTTTGCAACAAGAATTATTTTTAAAAAAATACTAGGACTGAGTTATTATACGTGTGGTTCCTTCAAAACATGTATCTTCCTGTGATCCATAAAGATAATTAACAAGAGCTTCTATTCAAAAGACTACAAAAGCCCATCTTAGTGTTTAGTTAGCCTAAATACATTGTTTAGAGGACCTTCTTATAACTTGGTAACCTGGCTTTGGTTTAATAGGATAAAAATATAGGAGACAAAGCACAGCTGAATCAAATTAATCACCACATAAAGCTGTAATTATTAGAGTACTGGGGTCAAATCCTAATTTAAGTTTCTCTCATGTACAAGTATGGCCAATTTTATAAATAAAATTTAATTCTTGTTTAAAAGAAGGAATAACCAAGTTTATTTATCAGTTTGGGAATCTGAAATATAAAATGTAACATCAGAAGCAAACAGCTGTTATAAATAAACAAATCTCATTATTAAAAGATTAAAAAACTTATAATGCCATTCCACTACTGTCTGTGGCTACTATTGCTAAGAATGCCATTATTAATAATTTTTCATGCAAACTGAACAAAAAAGCTTCAGGTTTATTTCTTTGTTTTGAAAAATCAGATTCCATTATGTAGGAAACTCCACATATGGAGGGTTATTTTTTTTGTCAGTCAATGCTCATTTCTTTCTTTCATATTAACTTCCTGATTAAAACCAAAATAAGAACCTACGACCGAATAGATTTATCTGATTCCTTGTCACAAATATATCAGATTTCTAATAACGGAAGTGTTTCTGCCTGCCTGTGTGCAGAGAATCTGCAAATAGAATATTTAATGAATCTTAAAACCCAAGCCATTGTTCATTGTATCAAGGTCTAGTCCAGGGGTAGTCAAACAAGATTTAACTGTATTCAGAAACATAATGGTATGTTCCAGAGCATCTTTTCTAAAAAGTAAACTCCTTTTGCAGAGAGAAATGAGTGTTTAAAATGAGGTTCCTACTTGGGGGAGGATAGAAAGAGAGGGAAGCAATTTTTGAAAATTCTGTACACTATTCCTTATTAGCATTTGGAACATCTCTTCATAGGGAACATTCAGCTAAAATTGCCACTCCTCCCACACCCTAACTCCCATAAAAGAAGTGAGCCATAATTATGGCTCAAGCTAAAAGGTTGGACCCCAGCCCTAGGAAAAGCCATTACTTAGTTATTTGGGATTTGCCCAATCTGGGGGTAGATGGATTAAAACTCAGACTGACGTTTCTTATGTTCTAAATCAAGTTGCAATAGCATCAACATCAGCAAGAATCTTTTGCTGTTCTTCTGGTTGATAGCTGTAACTTATCTTTATAATCTGCATCTCTACATTCTGCCAATATCACATTCACCTGTCTTTATAATTCTGAATTCTTAGTTCTAAAACCACACTGATTTGGAAGATGTTACCTTCCATTCAGCAAATAAAGGTACACAGTGGAAATGAATGCAAAATTTTTACATTTGCAAAAACCATTCCAATTTTACACAAATGTTTATGAGGAAGGATACTGGAAAAATAGGTAGTCAGTCTTTAATGCATTCATTCCCCCACCCCAAGTTCTTTTTGCATGCATGGAATTAAGGTGGACAACTGAGAACTGAAATTATTGGTAACATTTTAGCAGACACTGAAACTATTGAAGACAAATATGTGTTGTATTTCTTATCTGGCCAGGAGTCAGTCAGTAAATGGCTATGCATGAGCTGATTTCACATTCCACCATCCACTAAATATGGATTTTCTTAGGCATCTTCACTGTCATGTAGAATAGAATTAAATAACCTCCCCTCCTTACCCTGAAATGTAAGGAAATCTCAATAATCACTTATTGCGTTCTCAAGGGTGAGCAGCATACAGAATATTTTCATTATGCTATAGCTAAACTTTTCAACTTGGAATGGAATTACCTTCATAAATGGAGATATAAGTACACCTCAAAACAGAATACCAGTCTCTGCTACTAGCAAAAGTGCCATTGAAATAGCAGCATACCCTGAAATAATCCAGCTGTCATGACAGACATACAACCACATTCAGGACAGAATACACACATCTCAAATATCTAGAACACTAGAACATCAGATAACAGCAGAAAGTTTGTAGGCTCCCAAAAAGCAGTTCCTCATTAAATAGGTATTTTATTTATATTTGTTCAGACTCTACCCACTCCTTTTAGGAAAAAAAAAATCTACGTTCATGTTTCCAGAAATTCCCACAGGGAGAGATAAATGAGGCAGCTAGTTTCTCCCATCTCCATTTGTTTCTGGGTTATACTTCCAAAGTGACTGCAAGTATCTGCAGGGTTTTTTTTTTTTATTAAAATAGAAAAAAATGAAGCAATGAGGATGAATTGCTGGTTCAAACAATACTTGAGAGTCTCATTACTCCATGGTTGGATTGATGTTACTGATAAATTCAGAATTATAAAAGGTGCTTTTACATGTAATAATTTACACAATAGGAGAATCATCTTGGTTCACTTGTGCTATAATGAAGGATCTGCTGGCCAATTGCAGACTAACGGTAGCATGTCTGAACCCCGGTTGTAATGCACTAGAATTCATCTTGTAAACATATGACAATATGGGAGCAGGGTTTGTTTTAAAGAGTTTTGTTAGTAGAAATTTGCCATTTCCTTTGTTGACTGTATAGTGTTGGAAACCATGCTATGACTTTGTAGACATCAGCAGTGCCTTCTGTTTATTACCGTTGTCTGGTAGAATATGGAAAAACAAATCCTGAATGTTCTCCTTTAGTTAGCAAGATGTCAGACTTTGTTAACAGGGAACCGAAGTTAAAAGTTAGATTTAAAAATAAAATTGGAGCCGGGAAGTCTTCAAAAGCTTCAAGTATACAGCTGGTGGGAGGAACAGAAGACATCTGGCTGGTCGCAACTATCTGCAGAAGGTCTTGTTATCTTTCATGGATGAGCACGACTTCCGCAAGATTCCCTAATTCTGTCAAAAATAAAAATGTAACGGTCATGGCAAGTTTCTTGTAACTTATAATAGTGACAGTACAGACTTTCCTCGGAAAACTATGCATCTTAGATTTCTTGGAAGTAATCCTATTTTCTTCAACATCAAAGGAATCTCTTTCACTGTGACAACAAAGGAAATCAGAAGGAACTAGGGAAAGAGCCTTTGATCATTCAATATTTGGTGAGAATTTAGATACAAAAAATTAGAAGGACAAGATGTTTACCCTGAGATTTTGTTCACAGAAATACAGCAGGAGTAAGGTCTGTATAAATTCAGGATTTTCTCCTAAGCAAAAACTAGAGTGCCTAGAATTCATTAACTATATTTTATTTATTTATTTGTTTTCTATTTCTATTTGTTTGATTTATGAAGAATGATCTAAAAAAAAGATAGTGCTCCTTTCCTACGTGATTCTGTCAGCTGCTTTCACTTAGTAGCCCAACCATAATCTCCTAGCCATATTAACATATATAACTTTAAAAAGAAACATCTAATACAAATAATCATCTTTGAGGTAATATAGTTACCCTGAAGGTATGTAAGGCAACAGCAGCACAGGAAATTAACTATATAAGACATTCCATTATATAATTACCCACTAAATTCTTATTCCTCCACTAATTGTAGCATTTTAAAGTCTTTTACAAGTGTTACATTTGATCCAATACCTCAACAATAGCATTTTCAATTGTGTGCATTCTCTTTATGTGAAGAGAATAGTTTGACAAAAGACTTAGAATTAATGAGTGAAGAAAAGTCTTCCTCAGGACTTTTGATAAATAGAAAAAAATCAGTTTAGAGAGCATTAAAAATGGGATATCTGGTTACATATAATGGAATAAGCTTTGTTCGTTACATATAATGGAATAAGCTTTGTTCGTTACGGATATTCTCCATTCTCTAATTTACTGCAATCTACAGTTTAGTCCAGTGGTTCTCAACCTTTTTAATGCCGCGACCCCAACCGGTCGTAAGTCGAGGACTAAACCGGTCGTAAGTCGAGGACTAAACCAGTCCTAAGTCGAGGACTACCCAACCGGTCGTAAGTCGAGGACTTTCCCTGCCCGGGAGCACCGCGCATGCGTGGTTCCGCCCCCTGCGCCGGCCGAGGCGTAGCTGGCAAGCGGCAGAGACAGAGCAGGCCGACCACCAGCTGGCCCAGCCCAAGGGAGGTAAGGCACCCGCCGGAAAAGGGGGGAAAATGGCGGACAAAAAAAATGGCAGACAGCCTTGCTTGGCGACCCCCGTGAAATGGTTGATCGACCCCAAATGGGGTCCCTACCCACAGGTTGAGAACCACTGGTTTAGTCTATAGCTAGAGATCTCACTAACTTTATCACGGGTTGGTAAAAAGATTTTGATTTAATACCTGGAAGAGCTACGCTCTTTGCTCACACAGTCATCGTGAGAGGTAGTATCACCGTTTCCCATCATGCTGCATATTCTCCGCTTTTTTCTTCGGTGGACCATTCCTTCGGTTTCAGAGCTAGAGTCGCACTAAAAGAAGAAATAATGTCCTGAATTTCAAAACTGCAATTTTTAAAAAGGCTTCATCGGAAAAAGTTACGACCATTTGAGGAATAACATCCAGTACTAGTCCTCACTTAACAGTCATAATTGGGATAAGCAGCCGTCGTTAAATGAAGGGTCGTGCGACTGTTCCACTGAGCAATAGAAGTTTTGGCAATCCTAGCTGCTGTTATCCAATGAATCCCACAGTCATTAAGAGAGGACTCACAGGCTCCAAGCCATTCTTGGAAAAAGGTTAGGGACTGCCTCCACCTGAACTCCCTCATCCACCTATCTCCCCCCCCCTCTCTATCCATTTGGCTGCCCATCTATCCTACTGCCCATCTACCCTACTGTCACCAGCCCTGCCTGTCACCCTGCACGCTGCTATTCTACATGAACAGAGCTCCTGGCAAATGCATGAACAAAGACCCCGGAGCAAAAGAAGGCCCTGGCTGGTACAGTAGTGACATGTGTTGTAGTGGTGAACAGGGCCAGATGGTAGTAAAGTAGGCAGGCAGCCAAAAGGCAGTCATAAATGTGGGTGGCATTGCAATGGCCAGAATTCAAGGACCAATTAACAGCACCACTGTTAATTATGAATGGTGGCCGAAAAAAATGGACATTAAGCAAGGACTACCTGCATGTTTTTCTCCATCCAGAAACAACACAGGGACGGTAGAAAATCCTTCATGTATAATTAGTAGCTTTGTCTTGCTAGAGTTTAGCTTGAACCTGATCTCTTCCATCCAAAATCACACAACCTCCAGGCTATGGCAGGACTTCAAGAGTGTCTCTGACCTGGAGTTACAATATTCAGTTAAATATCATCATCATACTGATAATTCTGGACTCCAAACTGTTGGATCATTTCACCTAGCAGCTTCATGCAGATGTTAAACAAGGGAGAGAGAAATTACCTGTGTGGCGTCCCACAAAAGAGCAACCACAATGCTATTCTCTCCCTTGCAACTACCAACAGTTGGCATTACAAAGGAAGCAGCAGAACTACTGCAAAACAGTGCCTCCAGTCCCCACCATGGTCAATTATACTGAAGGCTGTTAAAAGGTCCCAAAAGGACCAGAACAAGCAAACTATCCATGTCCAGGTACTGATATAATTCATTAACAAAGCAACCAATCTCTGTCAACTCTATCCATTGCCAGGGTCTGAATCCTGATACCAAGTCCAGATAACCCACTTCTTCTACTGTGCTCTGTAGTTGATTCCAGACAAGTGTCTCAATACCTTTTGCCACAAAAGTAAGGCTGGAGACCAGGTGATAATTATCTAAGACCTTCAGATCCAGAGAAGATCTCTTGAGGAGGGGATGACTAATACCTTAAAGGCTGCTGGCATGAAACCTGCCTGCAAAGAGGTGTTCACAATTTCCCAGGTCCACAGAATTACCACACTCCCCAAAGAACCAGGATAGGCATGGATCCAGATCACAATAGTTCAGGACATTATAGAGAGAACCCTATTCACTTTGTTGGAAGTAATAGGATGAAAAGAAACCCAAGTAACTTGCCAAGGTAGTCCAGATTAGAAGCAATTTGAGGCAACTATGCTGCAAAGTGCAAGCAAACTAGACATAACAAACAGCAGAATGGCCCTTACCCAAAACGGAGTTGGACATCCAGAAAAGGGCAATGCAGTAAGAGAGAAGACATAATGATATTCTGTCTGTCCATAACCAAGTTGTAGGTATCTTATTATAGACAGAGCTGGCCTTAACCAGTACCAATTTAAGACCAGCTGCCTCAATTAAGTCCCCAAGTAGAAGCAGCCAAAATGGAAGAAAGGATCACTAACATACTGTAGGCCCCCCTTTCCCCAACTTTAAGCTTAATACTCAATCATTCTTTTGTAGTCTATCAATGATTTACTATGGAGGGGGGAATGAAATACCCTACTTGGAGGAGGCCATAACAGAAGTATGAATGCCATTTAGACTTGGTCACGTGCAGTTTGTCTCTAAAATATTCCTTCCGAATATGCTAAATGGTGGTACAATCGGCAGCAGCAGAATTTGCAAGCTCAACTGAAATGAACAACATAGACCTTTCAAGATAATGTCCTCCAGTACAGGCAGATCCTTCTCAGGATTTCTTAAGATTCAATTAATAATGTCACTGATTTTGGTTGAGAACCTTATCTCTCCTCTTTTATGGACAGTTTTGATTTTTGTCTTTATGTATGGCTATAGCTTGGGTTAAACAGCAGGTGTTGTTTAGTTCTTATGTAGGGGTATCTGCAGCAACCCAGTCCTTACCTCTGAGTCAGAATCTGAAGAACTGGAGCTGGAAGAACTAGACGAATCACTAGAACTGTCTGAAGCAATGCCCGTTGATTCTTGTAAGTCAACAGAATCAGCTAGTACAGCTAGTTCAGGATGTTCCTGCTTGAGGACCCTTGGGATGTATAAATAGAGGATAAATGCATTATGTTTTAAAGAGATAAGGAGGGTAAATGCCACATATCTTACTCTTTACTTCATAGGCAACTCAGAACATTTTTACAGCATAACAAAATATAACAAAAATATGTCCTGCTCTCCTCCTCAAGCAATAAATTAAAAAGGAGCGACTTAGTAAAGGCTAGATACACAAACTGGGGCATAAAAATCTTTGTTACCAAAGAAAAGAAGAAGCGGTCATCTCAAAAATGTTTGCTTTGCCAGATCACTATCCATCTCGGGGCAGTTTTGCTTGAGACTTTGCCAAGGCATCTTCCCAGAGATCTGCCCAGTTGGATGGATGGCAGCTTGCTCTGCTCTCTCAAAATTCAGCTTTCACTGCCCATTTTATTACTTTAGGAAGCAAAATATTCCACTGGTGAAATCAGCTTTTTTTTTTTTTTTTCCTGTCGTCCTCATTTTAGGTCATTTTTTAAGGGTTTCCCTAAGTGTTTAATTAGCATTAAATCCACCCCCCACCCCCATAGGAATTGGCATTTGCACACAATTTATGGAATATCAAACTACTACAGCTATAAAATATTGATTAGGTATCTCAGGTAACTAAGTGAAATCAGTAGTGGGATACACACATTCTGTTCTTAAGACATGACCCAAATTAATCCAACAACAGGATATTAATATTATTATTAAAAGTATGAAGCTGCTTACCAAAAATATAACAAGAGAGGGCTATTGCCTGCATGGACCTACTGGATCTATTGGTTTTCCAAAGACCAGGTGACAAATTGTTATGGGACTGTAATGTCTAGACCTTTGGTTTGATCTAGCAATGCTCGGTAGGAGACAAAAGACTATTCCTCTGTGAAAGTTTAGAAATGCTGGAGCTAGTTGAGATGCATTTATATACGCAGCAAAGTTAGGAGGCTTCACCTTTAATTTTATTGATTTAATTAAAACATTAAAATAACTTTAATCAGTAATCACTTTAATATTACTTTTGTGCTTAATAACTGAGTGATCAAACATTCTCAGCCTTAAAACTATAACTTTTAAATATATAGTTGAGTCACCTTAATGAATCTTGAAATCCAGAAGCCTAATTCTTCTTCTGGACTCCATGGACCATGTTGCTATTACAAGCCAGACTGCCCAGAAAGTCTTTCCAAAATGCAAAAAACTTAATTAGATTTACATTTCACAGATTACATTAAGCATTATTCCAGGTGTCTGCATTGCTCTAGGAAGCAACAACTGGCTTATCCAACCAGCACCTGGGAAATCATTGAAGTAACATTGATGTCTCTCACCTGTACCATTTTCTGGATAACTTCGGTCTTCCCCTCACTGTCTTGTGCCACACCACAGGGAAGTTTGTGCAGCTGGCAAAATTCTGAGTGACAGCAATAGTCGTGTCAAGATTGAGAACAACATGCCACCAGCCACCTACAAATGCAACACTGTAGAAGCTTATGATCATCAACAGAAGAAAATGCATAAATCACTGTTTTAACTGTAACTTTACAATCAATAAAAATAGCTTGCTTGTTTTACATGTTTTCTTTGTAATACATCCCAAAGGTCTGATCATCAATAGCAACTAATTCTGTATTAAATTAAATTTCCAACACAAGTTCTCCTTTTAGTTTTCCTTATATTGTAGAGAATGTAGAACTGGGCAGAGAGTGGAAGAGATAAGGGGGAAAGGCTGTCAAATTTGTACTCCTTTTTATGTAAAATCCCAGTGCAAAACAACAGGTGCAGGCTGAAATTATCTGCATAGAAAGGGGACTACATCATACAACCTTTTCCACCCGTGTTTATCAGATGACTGAACTCTCTAGACAATGGGACTTGGGGATTGAGACTAGGGAATATATATATAAACACAGGTTGAGCCCTCAAGCCCCCTTAAGGATTTTAGCTCAGGAAGCAGGTCATAGAAGAGAAACAGCAGACAAGAACAAATGGTTGACATATCAGAAATTATTGGAAAAACCATCAAGGGGAATGAAAGAAGATTATAATGTAACTTTTGAGAGAGAGAGGTTAAAATATAATTGTACTTGTAACTCCTGTTCGTATTTTTTTTCTATTTTTCATTTTTTCCCTTGCATTTCTTGCCTTTTTTGTCTCTTTATTTATTCCCCGATTTATATTAGTTTGCATAATTTTTATCTTTTTTCAAAAAATTTCAATAAAAATTATATACAAATGACTTTTCTAGACAGTAGATTAAAATATTCATAGGATATACCACACTTTCGTCTGATGAAATTGGTTAAAATTACATATCACTAAATTTTCCAGCTTTTAATTATCTTTAGCAGATAATGCCAGTGAAAATTTGGTGCTGGAATATTCTGAGTTTAAATAAAGGTGGAATATTTTGTTAAAGCACTATTAAAATATAGTTAATAAAATAAGCACTAACACAGAACATGACTGAAATCCACATTCAGTTCTTGTGAACTGAAGATATCATGCATCACAGTAGACATTATTAAACCACAACAAATTATCCAATTTTAAGCTGAAAATATGTGACTGCCAAAAATCACTCAATGAATTTCCATGGGTAAGTGTGGACTTGAGCCTGGGTCTCCCTGGTATCATACCAATATCATAATGATTACACCATTTTTAGTAAGTAAAATTATTTAATCAGATTATTGGTCATAGGGCCGTGGTGGCGAACCTGTGGCACGTGTTCCACAGGTGGCACGCAGAGCCCTCTCTGTGGGCATGCGTGCTGTTGCCCCAGTCCTAGGCCTTCAGCTGGGTTTTATAAAACCTTTTCGCTTTAGGCCTCGCCGTGTGCCCAAAAAACCCAAAAAGGTTCAATCAATCAATCAATTTCAACTTCTCGTGGGAAAAAAAAGATCTTGCAAAGTTGGAATTGATTGATTGAACTTTTTAGTCCCACCCAGTCTGCCGTTACCGCAGCCACGCCCACCCAATGGGCCACGCCCACCCAATGGGCCACACCCACCCGGCACCCGACGATACGTAAGTGGGTTTTGGGCTGCAGTTTAGGCACTCAGTCTCTAAAAGGTTCGCCATCACTGCCATAGGGACTTTATTTCCATTTCGTGAGACTCTGAAAGGACAAGGGAAATTACTTCTCCCAACTATGTAAAAGACATCATAAAATGAACATCTACTTTGCACATGTGGCTATATTAATGCACTGAAGTAACTGATTTTAAAGAAATTATTTAAGAACGATCATCCTGTCAATTCTCTGATTGCACTAATTAAGGTGTCTGTCACTCAGAAGATATTATTCATGGATTTATTCACCATAACTTCCATGACATTCTAATTGAGAGTCCCTATTTCAGTTTCCTTTCTGAACAACTCACTTTATATTAGGTTTATTCATCCATCCATGTGGTCATGTTTCCTTTATGTTCATTATACTATTGGATATATAAAAAGCAGCCTTTGCAGCTTTTCTAGACCCCTTGATTTTAAGGAATGGCATCTGTGTTCAAAGGCCTAGGGATCTTCATAAAAAGATTATCTCATTAAGAGTATATTCTTCAACAGGAGTAGACAATCTTTGATCACTTCTTATGAATTTAATTAGGAGTCCTAAGGTCTGCAGTAAGCAGTGATTAATACATAGCTTGCCTCCCAAGACAAAGGTGCTCCTAAGCTTATGGTCTTTTAAAGGTTCGTGAAATTCTGGGTCTAAAAGAGCTTTGGAGATTAAGTGTACACATTCTTTGTCACCAGATTGATTTCTGCTGTATTATGATACAATATCATATGACCTTGTTATAGACATAGTAACAAAATGTATAACAATGTAAAAAAATAATAATTATAGCCCCAGAGTCCTCCAGGATATCCTGGCTAGATCTACGAAAGAGGAGGGTCATGCCACGTGTTTATAAACCCATACTTGTCCCCCCCAAAAATCTTTGTTTTGTGAGGGTTAGGATTTTTATCTTTTTCTCCTCTAAAATTTAATTTGGAGCTTAGATGGCTCGCCATCTCAAAGCGATACTTTGACATTATCAAAATGCATTGACAAGAATGAAGGCAGCAGTGGAGGCTGGGGAAAAAAAAAAGGACCACAGACTGATCATCCCTACTGTAGAATAAAATAGACTTCAACGTAGAGTTTAACAAATACGCATACCTGGCACAAACACAGTCTCTCCAGGTTTTTGTACTATTTCCAAAGGTTTGAACTCTGAAGGCCAAGTGGGAAGTTGCGTTCGGGGGTATATTACTCTGAACCAAGTGATGGCTTCATCTTGCTGATTGCCTCCTTCTTCGCGAGTCACTTTGATCAGTTCTCTGGGAGTGCTGGTCGGAAAGAGACACCAGCGCTTATGTCCATGGACTAAGGCATTCCAGGCACTGGTTCCCAGAGGATCAATGTGAATACCTGTTCCTGAACGAGGTGGGCCCATCACAAACCATCTGCAATATTAGAAAACTTAATTATTTTTCTTGTTAACATTTCCCCAAAATAAAGATTCCCTTTCTTTTTCTAAAGCAGATCTATTCTGTTCCACTTACATTCCATTCTGTTCCATTTACAAATATGTATAATACACACACGAGAAATTGTTCTCTGTAAGTTAGGCTGTTGATTTATTTACCTTAATATTACCCATATAGTGAAAAAGTTTTCAGGAAGATTATTTCCATATTTCTGGATATAAAAAATAGAAGTCTAATCCCCTTCCTAATGGAAAATAAAATAGCATTTCAAGACAGCTACATAAGTCTGGGCAGTTTATTTTACCAAATGTGAATCTTGACCACGTGAGGAATGATTTTCAGAATGTCCCATGAACATTCCACTCTATGAAGAGTTCAAAATCTGAGTTTTTAATGTTGGAGAATAAAAAAAAAAAGAATGCAAAGCATCATTACTAAAAACAACAATGTCAAGAATGGATAGTAAATGTTATCCTACATTCTTTTTTAACAATCTAACACAATCGTCCAAGAGTATGCCCTACCAGTTATCTCAAAGGCAGAGATGAATAAAATGTTTTATTTCCCTAATGACAGGAGAACCCAACTATGGACATTGTTATCTAAACAATAGAGTCCAGAACTGCACAAAAGATGCATTTAAATAGTAGCGCGACCGTTATCAGTTGGGTGCTATTCATGTATTCAGACTGCATTTCCCAGAATCTGTACTCAGTATTGCCTTTTGACCCTCTCAGAGTGCTTTATTGGCTAAGACCAATATTGGTAAGAAAAGCGAAAAGACACTGACTGCACAAGTTCACTCTTCTAAAAGCCCTTAGATCTTTTTAAAAACATTTTAAACTTTATCTGAGTTTTAATTGGCTTATGAGTTATAGCTTAAATGTAGCTGCTGTTTGGAAAGCCATCCTGTTTTACTGTTTACCCTTTTAGTCTTAGTGTGCCTGGACTAAATGTGCAGGACAAATGAGAACAATGGACATTCACTGGTCTATAAGCCAGACTTTTGGTGCTTGGGTTAGCTAGTTTATACCTGTAAGGTGGCCGCCTCTTCTCTCCTGCATATTTGAACAGATCGTCAGTGAAGAATTTGGGTACCCTATAATCCTCCAAAAGTTTTTTGCGCTTTGGATGCTCCCCATAACTGCTGTCAAATATATAGAGGGGACTATCATCTCGTGTACTCTCCATGTATTCAATGTAATATTTCATCTTCATTTTCACGGAATAACCATCGTTGTCCTCCCCACACTTGAATTTCTGGTTCCTGTATTTGCGCTTCAGACGTTCCGTAGTCCACTTCTCTTGGGCTGACCACCCTGCCTCAGCATTTAACAGGACAACAGGCTTATATGGCTTCTCATATCTTTCAATGAATTCTTCCATTGACAAATGGAGGGCATCTGCTCTTTCCACATTATCCTACAAGAATGGATGAAGAACTACCTTTAAAACAAAGTAACAAAGGATGTAATACAGTAGAACATTAATGAACCTATTAGCCCCACAGAATGAGACCCCACAAAGTCAACAAAAATGCTTCAAAATTACGTTAAATTCTTGTTTTCCTTATAAGCTGCATAAAGATATGCAGGCTTATCCAGGTATGGCTAGGTGAAGTGAATTTTATTTTTTTAATTTTGAAATAGAAGTGTCCGTAATGTATCCTGGGAGATAATTTTTACATGAGGCCATTCTACTGTACTTCCATTCTTATAAAAAAAAAATCTGCCATTTTAATCTTTTAAACTGTGGAATCCCACAAAGAACTGCTATTAAGGTCAAGAGAATTTACTCCCAGATAAGCAAATATATAATCAAAATCTTAATGTAAAATGTTTTAAATGATAGCTACCAAACTGACCATTAGTTTTTGCCTGTGACAGACAAACGTGTGGAAAAAAAAATGCTGTTTGATATGCATTTCAAGTAAGTATCATACTATATTTCTAAACAAACTTGCGTGCAAGGTAAATTGGAATTTTATTTACTCTTGCTCATCAGGAAGAAGGTGCAAAGAATAAACCTATCCCATTATTGCAGGGGTGTCAAACTCAATTTCACTGAGGGCCACATCAGCATTGCGGTTGCCCTCAGGGGGCCGGGTGGGTGTGGCCAGGGTGAGTGCGGCCTACTGGGTGGGCGTGGATGGAGTGGTGTGGCCTACTGGGTGGCCGTGGCCAGCTCTACATGGTTCGCGTCAAGGGTGCCTGTGGGGGCCTGGGCAGGAGTGGGACAGATCTGAGGGTCTCTGGCAGAAGGGGGTGGGACCAGGGGAAGTGCCAAGGCATGGTCCACTGGAGGAACCTCACTGTTCCTCTCAGGCCATGCGGGAGGGGGGGCTTATGGAGCTAAGACTGAATGCCTTTCAGCATAGATGGCCACCACAAAATTGTACATTGGCTCCCGGCTGGCCTGGGCCAGGGCCAAGGCAGAGGGGGCCGTTCCCTCACTGTTTCCAGGATGGCTTCGTGGGCCACATGAAGCCACTTTGCGGGCCGCATCCGGCTCCCGGGCCTTGTGTTTGACATGTCTGCATTATTGGAAGAGCACCTTAGACATGTGCTTTGACGTAACACTTTGCCCTCAGTTTGAAAAGAGCCCTTGGGAGTGCACTGAGGCATGATCACAGAACTTTCCTGCAGCCGTTTAAAGCAGCCACACAAACCTGGAAAAGACTCCTCTGCTTTAAAGAGCTGCAGTGAGGTATTACATTTGTGCACATGATCCAAAGTATTACACAACTCCACCCTGAAAAAAACTTCAGGAACAAGTAATGGACAGGGAGAACAATAAAGAACCTTTTGCAATCTAATCTAAAATCATGTAAGAGCCTTATCACAGCTCTTATCCTTAGAAACAGCAAATGGTAATGGAGGTTTTCACAGATGCAACAGATTTTGGAATATGTGCCAGTTACCAAAGTAGCAGATAAAAGTTTTAATTGGGAAAGCAACAGAAAAATAAGGAACAGTAGGATATGAATTTGCTATTAGAGGTAATCCTCAACTTATGACCATAATTGAGTCTGCAATTTTGATTGTAAGTTTTGATGGTCATTAAGCAGATCACCATGTGACTGCACCTGATTTAATAACCTTTTTACCACAGCAGCCGTAAAGTGAGTCCATTATTCACTGTGGAATGTTTTTTGCCAAAAACTGGAAGTAAATACCTGTTTCTGGCAAAAACATTGTAAATCCCAGTCATGTGGCTACCTGATGCCTCAAATGGACCAAGTGCCCAAAATGTAGTCACATGATTGCAGGGGGAGGAGAGGAGTGGGTATTGTAACTTTGAATCCAGGTGATAAGTAGCTTTTCTGGTGTCTGTTGCAATTTTGAAGGGCTACTAAGCAATTGGTTGTAAGCCAAGGACTATATTTTCAATCCTAGTAAGGTTGCGAGATAAAATCTTAAAATTAAACAAAACTTATGACGGGAGATGGGGCAATCAAAAGGAATAGGGAAGAACAGTGTTTTCTAAATGTCAGCAAAGTATAAAACTATCTACTGGTTGGTCCCTGGGTGATGCACAACACATGCACTGAGACTCTGACTTCTTACTGTGTAATAATATTAATAATCCCATCACCCCACCACCTCCCCTTTTCAAAAGAAAAAAAAAGATTTGTGAAGCAAACAAAGCTTTAAGGAAAATCAAGAAAAGTCTGATGGAAAAGAATGGAGTCCTAATTGCAGTCCCAAAAACAAATTTCTCTGGTTGAGAATGAGGTCATCTATACCTGAAAGGAAAATGGACCCATATCCATATACTTACCTTCACTTTCCATTATTTTATACTGAGATATTTATCTCACTGACATGAAATTTGCTTAAACACACACATACTGTATTTAATAAGCTGAATGGACAAGTCCATTAAGTGACCATGAGTTAAACTCAACTTGAATTAGAATTTAACAACTTTATTTGTAGCATGCCACACTGATACTTATGACAGGTTCATTTCCCGTCCCATTTAAAAATTGGACATAATTTAACTCAGCAGTGAACAACCCAATTATTGCTTAATCTTATTTACAGCTACTGAGAATTACACCATATATAATTAAATCCTTGCTATTCTTACAAGATCTACTTTTTATAATTCATCTTGTCTTCACTTTCTATATTTTGTCTAAACCAGGGGGTAGGCAACCTTACAGGAATTCTGGGAGTTGACGTCCACGAGTCATAAAAGAGCGAAGGTTGCCTATCCCTGGTCTAAACTAATCTCTATGTACACATATTCTATGAAATCTGCTTTACATAAATAACATGTCTTTTCAGCATATCAAAAACATCCTAAAATAATTATCTGCTCCGGAACATTTCCCTTTTCTTTACCCCTTTATTAACCCATTCGTATCTATAATTCTGGTAATTTGTATTTTCTCCTTTGCCTAAAAAGGGCAACTAGCCTGTGTCAACAACAGGTCTGGCATATCTTTATTTACTTAATTGCAAATCCTATTCCATTTAACCTGACTTAATTCAGAGGAAATACATACAGACTGCACTACCGTTTAAAAAACATAGCATCAAGTTGAAAATACACAAGTCTGTAGATTCTCTCTCACAAACATTCAATTCTTTTTCTTGTCCAGAAAGTTCCCACAGCAATGAAGTCCCGCTTCATACTCGGCTGCTTTCCCATCACTTTAATTTCCGCCAACCTGCTAAGGACCCTCCACACCTCGAGACCGTTATCCTAGCCAAAGGGGTCCCCAAATCCTTCAGCTCCGCGACCCCCTTCCGTGAAGCTTCAGATTGTTTATCGACCGCCAAACGTTGTATATAAAAAAATAATTTAATAATTGCTACTTTAACTAAGAGTACTACGAATAACCATGGCAATAATAAAGGATAGCCCCATCGATCCCTCGGGGTCGATAACTGAGACCACTCCGGGGAACCCTGGAGCCGATACAATCCCCAGAGACACAGAGGAGGGGGGGGGATTAAATCTTTCGCCCCTCTCAGAGACCAACCTACCAAGCGGGCTCTTGATGTCGGGAGGATCAACCGAAGAGAGATCGGTCTCTCTAGCCAACCCGCCTTGAGCTGCTGGAGGAAGCGGGTTATAAAATCTGATGCAAAAGCCGAGCCACCTCTCTTCTCTTCTCAGCATCCCCGGGAAGGGGATTCGATTCCCTCCGGTCCGGCTGTGGCTTTCGACGGCCGCCCTTTCCCCGCCACCCACCCACCTTCCTAGACTCTCTCTCCCCCCGAGTCCCGCTCACCTTACAGCCCGCCGGGTTCAGCGGGAAGGTCTCGCAATAGTTGTGGCGAGTCCAGTCGAGGGAGTCCTTGAGCTCGGGACGCGCGCTCCGCTTCGCCTCGCGGATGCGCTTCTTGCTTTTGTGGTTCATGCTCCCCACGCGGCTCTCCCTGCCCTGCCCGGCTCTTCCGGCTACGGATTCCGCGACAGCACCCTCCCGAACAACAGCGCCCCGCCGCTTCCAGAAATGTCACCTCCGCGCCGACTCAGCCGCCGCATCGCGGCCTCGACGCGACCCGCCTTGGTTCGACCTCCGCTTCTTCCCATTGGCTGGCGCCGACGGGACCTCGCCGACGGACAGCTCTTATTGGTCTTTCCAGAAGCGGAAATAGAGGCGGGCGGCACCAGAGTGGAGGAGGAAGTGCTTCAGCGCCATCTTGGAACGTCATGGCCCCACCGAGAGGCGTCGCTGTTGCGCAACGCGAAGGGCGGAGGCGGGCTCTCAGCAAAGCGCGGAATTAGGGTTGCTGATTTGCGAGGTGGGTTGGCGGGTGCTTTGTAGTCCGGGAAGGCAGGTGAAGAGGGAATAAACGCTGAAGCAAGGATCGGATTACGAAGAGAAGGACGAGGGGGGACATGATAGCAGTGTTCCAATATCTCAGGGGCTGCCACAAAGAAGAGGGAGTCAGGCTATTCTCCAAAGCGTCTGAAGGCAGGACGAGAAACAACGGGTGGAAACTGATCAAGGAGAGAAGCAACCTAGAACTAAGGAGAAACTTCCTGACAGTTAGAACAATTAACCAGTGGAACAACCTGCCTCCAGAAGTGGTGAATGCTCCAACACTGGAAGTTTTAAAGAAGAGACTGGACAGCCGTTTGTCTGAAACGGTGTAGGGTTCCTGCCTGGGCAGGGGGTTGGACTCGATGACCTCGAAGGTCCCTTCCAACTTTATTATTATTATTATTAAGTATAGCTGCATTTGAGATAATTGTTGGTCAGCCTGGGTGGAAGGTGGTGCCCATTGGGAGGACTCTTTCAAGTAATGAGATTTTCGTTCACTTTCATAGGAACCTATTCTGTTTAATCCCAAGGTCGTGTGCATAAGCAGCTTGACTGACGTACTGGACTTTTATTTCGGGTTAGCAGCGCACACTGAAGGACGGTGGTTTCAAACTGCACAGAGAAGTTCATTCATGCAACAGTTAGGGAGGCGCTGTTTGAGTCTAGATATCGGTGTAGAAGAGGGGTCTTCAAACTTGGCCCTTTTATGACTTGTGGACTTCAACTCCCAGAATTCCTCAGCCTGGCACGCTGGCTCAGGAATTCTGGGAGTTGAAGTCCACAAGTCATAAAAGGGCCAAGTTTGAAGACCCCTGGCGTTGATTTTTTTTTAAAAAAAAAACTGGTTTATTGGTATACGGGACTCTGATTTTTAAATATAATTATATGAAATTCAGATTACACTAGCTTGCAAATAACTTCAAGTGGCCTCAATGGATTGCTCTGTAAAGAGTCTCTATGGAGATTCTCAGTCATTCAGGTCATAGTAATCCCAAAGGTGCTTTTTCATGAGGCAACTGGACTTTCTTGTTTTTCTTTGAAGACGTTTTGCTTCTCATCGAAGAAGCTTCTTCAGCTCTCTGTAAAGAGTCCCAAATCTTTCCGGGAAAGTGTGAAATTAAGCTCTATTAACATTTCTAAATAGGATCAATTTACCCTTCAGGAATAAACCATCTACCTTGAGTGAGAGAGACGTAAAAATAGCCTGCCGACTGCAAATAAAGTGGGAAAGGATGGTAACTCTGTTGGTGCCATACTTGTTGGCTGGGTTTTCATAATTCCACCCTTCCTAGAAATGGACATTAATTGGCTGTCTCGTCTGCAGACGTGCTGGAAGAGCCTGACTGCGGATGGCCAATGGGGCCCTATTGATCCTTTGCCAAACCCGGCATGTGCGAGATAGCGTCCAACTTGACTGTGAAGGAATACCGGTTTGGAAGGGATCAGGAAAAGGGAGACGGAAATGACCGGCCCCGGGAGTTGGTGGTGATGATTCCTGAGGTACTATTTTTATGATTATGGTTTGTCACCCAGTCAGCCATATGTTCAGACTGGATTTGGCATTATCCACCTATCCAGTTCTTATTATTTGCTGAATGAGAATAAGGTTTCAACCTCAGGACCTTGGAAGATAATCTAACAACTTTGCATTTCACAGAAATTGCTCTTGAATAATTTTGAAATAAACTTTTTTTTTCTAGGTACAGATGCTGTACTGAAAATTGGTTTAAAATAGTTTGATGGACATTGTTTCTTTTATGTTTTCATCGTACAACTTTTCTAAAATGGGTCCATGTTCTAGTTGGGTTTTGGTTTTTCAAACTAGTTTGATGAGCTTAAATTAAAACTTAAATTGTTTATTTCTGCAAGTGAGATGGCAAATTTAAAATGTCAGTAAAGGACTATTCTATTTCAAATACAAATCTGACAATAGAAACAGTATGGTACCCTATATGCTTCTTCAATGTAAAGCTTTTAGACTGCAATGAGGCATATTTTCAAGTGATCATAGGTTGCAGATGTATTTATTAACATGCTACCAGAATATTTCAAAGTTACATTTGGTATAGTTAATTATACTGAATCACTTCCCAATGTTTATCACTTGTTAGTGGTCTGATAAATCCTGAAGAGACTCCAGGCCTTATCTTGATAGCCTTTATTTATGAATTACTGAAGTAAGGATCAACATATCAATGAATGAAGAATGTTTTCAATAATAGGTACAACAATTTCTTAGGTTTAAGAATTTAAAAATTCTTAATTTAAAATTTCATTTAAAAAATTGTAATGCTCAAATTTATTTTTGTGTACACAAACGTCTTATTTCAGTGATATGCGTAGTTGGGTTAAAGCTTCATAACATTTTGACATTTGACTTTTTAAATAAGGAAATGTGTGCCAGTTTGTGTGCAGGAAACAATGCATATATATTGCTCTCTTAATGCTTTATAATTTGTCTTCCTGACTTTATAGATTAATCCCTGAATATAACAGATGTTTCTGTATTCATGTTTTTTTCTTTTGAAATTAGCTGTAAGTACTTTGATGTAATGACAGCAGAAGGCATTTAAATACATTTAAACTCATTATGTTGACCGCTGCAATATGTCAGTTCCATGATTTGTATTAAAACAGGCATTCTTGTAACTATATATGTTATGTTCTTCCAAAGCTAAATCAAATCTATCATAAAGTCATATTCTGAACTGGTGTCTATGTTTGTAAGTCTTGAGTAAGATTAGGCAGATAGAAAAACATGATTTATTTGATTCTAAATAGAAGTGGTTAAGAAGTTTAGTGTAAATTTATTTGTCAATTGTTAGGCAACACACACACATACAAACATAAAACAGTAACTTTGGTGTCCTTTCTGTGTGAACCTATAACCATGCACTGAGATTTGAAGGAGGAAGTACATCTGTCTGCATTTTTTTTAGTAGGCTCACGTGCTGGATTTGATTTGATTTCATTGTACTTACATATATAGCTGCATAAATAGTCTCAATTGATCCTGAAATGATTGATTACAAAATGTAAGTGTTCTAATGAATAATAATTCTTTCAACAGATACCTAGTAGAAAATATACAGCATGTTCATTGTTCCAAATATATTACGGGTGGATTCCAGCTTTCTCTTTGACTTGCGATTTGTATGCAGTTCTAGCGCATTAATAGTATTAATAGAATTATTTTACAAACTACTTAAAGCCTAAGAAAACAGGAAAAAGCTATAACTAATTTAAATATTTTAATAATTCTTTTAATGCTATTTTATTTTGCAACACAATCTTTTTTTAGGTTCTTGATCCTCAGTATGGTATGTATGTTTGGCCTTGTGCAGTGGTTTTGGCGCAGTATATCTGGTTTCATAGAAGACTTGTCTGTGGCAAAAGAATACTAGAGGTAAATATCACATTATTTTCATTCAGCTATCATAGAATTAGAGCCTTAAACATGAAGGAAAAAAAGTTCAGTTGGATTAACTTGGGATGAATATTGTACATTCACCTACAGATCTTTTTTTGGGGGGAGGGAACAGAGAAACAAGGATTGTAAATTAGATAAATGAAATGTGAATAGTTAGACCAAAATATATGATGCAAAAAAATTACTACTGGTAATCCTTGTTTAGCAACCATAGTTGGGACTGGCAACTTGGTCAATAAGCAAAGCAGTCACTAAGTGAAACTGACTACACTTATTTTCTGCTTTCCTTTGCTTTACAGATCTGCAAAATTCGTAAATGCAAGAACTGATCACAAAGTTTA